TCACAGTAGAGTTTTTATACAATATTTGTCCTTATGTGACTGACTTATTTCACTCAGCATAATGTCCTCCAGTTTGATCCATGTTATGAGATGCTTCACAGATTCATCATTGTTCTTTATCATTGCATAATACTCTATTGTGTGTATGTACCATAGTTTGTTTATCCATTCAACTGATGAGCATCTAGGTTGTTTGCATCTTTTTGCTATTGTGAACAGTGCTACAATGAATATGGGTGTGCATATGTCTATTTGTATGACAGCTCTTATTTCTCTAGGATATATTCTAGGAGTGGGATTGCTGGATCGTATGGTATTTCTATTTCTAGCTTTCTAAGGAAGCTCCATATCATTTTCCAAAATGGTTGTATCATTATGCATTCCTTCCAGCAGTGCATAAGAGTTCCGATCTCCCCGCAGCCCCTACACCGTTTGTTATTTCCAGTGTTTTTGATTCGTGCCAGTAATGCCAGGGTGAGATGGTATCTCATTGTGGTTTTAATTTGCATTTTTCTAATGGCTAGTGATTGCAAGCATTTCCTCCTGTGTCTGTTGGTCGCTTGAATGTCTTCTTTGGTGAAGTGTCTGTTCATTTCTTTTGCACATTTTTTAATTGCATTGTCTTTTTGTTGTAGAGGCATTGGATTTTCTTGTAGATTTTAGAGATTAGAACTTTCTCTGATTTGCAATGTCCAAAAATTTTTCCCAGTCTGTAGGTTCTCTTTTACTCTTTTGGTGAAAACTTTTGATGAGCATAAGTGTTTAATTTGTAGAAGATCCCAGTTATCTAGCTTATCTTCTGGAGTTTGTGTGTTGTTAGTTATGGTTTGAATCCTGTTAATGCCATGCATTAGGGCCTCTAGCGTTGATCCTATCTTTTCTTCTATGAACTTTACAGTTTTTGGCTTTATGTTTAGGTTTTTGATCCATTTTGAATTAGTTTTTGTGTATGGAGTGATGTATGGGTCCAGTTTCATTTTTTTGCAGATGGACATCCAGTTTTGCCAGCACCGTTTGTTAAAAAGACTGTCTTTTCCCCATTTGATGGACTTTGGGCCCTTGTCGAAGATCAGGTGACCATAGGTGGATGGATTTACATCTGTGTTCTCAATTCTGTTCCATTGGTCAATGTATCTGTCATTGTACCAGTACCAGGCTGTTTTGACTACTGTAGCTGTATAGTAGGTTCTGAGGTC